TCTAATGATCCATGCCTTCTCATTACGTGGCCAAAGTACAATAGTGTCAACTTGATTATCTTTGCTTCCAAGGAGAGCCCTGGTCTGAGCTGTTCAAGAATCCATTTCTTTGTCTTCTTGGCTGTCCATTGTGCCCTAAGTACTCTTCTCCAGTACATTTCAAATAAGTTGATATTCTTTCTCTCTGCTTCCTTCACTATTCAGCTCTTGCATCCGTACATGGTAATTGGGAATACAGTGGCCTGGACAATTCTGACTTTAGTGCTCAGTTGTATGTCTCTGCTCTTCAGTATCATTTCCAGTTCTTTCATAGCTACCCTTGCCATTCCTAGTTTTCTTCTTATTTCTTGACTGCAATCTCCATTCTGGCCAATGTTTGATCCTAGATATGGGAATTCTGTAACTATTTCAATTTCCTTGTTGTCTAGATTGAATTTGTGTATTTCTTCTGTGGTCATTATTTTTGTTTTCTTTCTGTTCAGCATCCGACTTGCCTTTACACTTTCATCTTTGACCTTTCTTATTAACTGTTCCAATTCCTGAACGTCTTCCGCTAATAATATGTTGTCACCTGCATATCTTAGGTTGTTAATGTTGTTTCCTCCTATCTTAAGTCCTCCTTTTTCTGACTCTAATTCTGCTTTTCTTATTATGTTTTCAGCATATAAGTTAAACACGTAGGATGATAGGAGACAGGCTTGCCTGACCCCTTTGCCTATTGGGAACCACTATGTTTCCACGAATTCTGTTCTGAGGGTGGCCTCTTGTCCTTGGTACAGATTCCACATTAGGACTACCAGATGTAGTGGCACATAGTACATGTGGTTTTTATTTCCCTTTGGTGAAAAGAACAATCCACATGGTCCATCCCATATGATGCTTTCTCAGAGTTTCTTAGGGAATATATATCATTTGTTGTTGTTAACTGCCATCAAATCAATTTCAGCTTATGGTGACCCTATGAATGAAAGACTTTCAAAGAACCCTATTATTAACAGCCCTGCTTGGGTCTTGCAGACTGAGGGCCATGACTTCCTTCAGTGAGTCTATCCATGTGTAATGTGGTCTTCTTCTTTTCCTATTGCCTCCTAATTTGTGTGTCTATGTGCCTTCAAGTTGCCTGTCAACTTAAGGTGACCCCATGAATTTTTTTATAGGGGTTTTCTTAGGCAAGGAATACTCAGAAGTGGTTTTACTAGTTCCTTCCTCTGAAATGTAGCCTACAGTTTCTGGTATTCATTCACCATCTCCCATCTACTAACTAGTGCCAATCCTGCTTAGCTTCCAAGATTACAAGGATCTGGAGCCTTTAGGGTATTTAGCCATCTGCCTACTTTATCAAGCATTATTGTTTTTTCTAGTGAGTTATATCTTGAGTTAGTTATATACATGTGAAGTGTGACAATCTGAGACCAGTCACTGTGGCTTTTAGGGAGTATTAAGACTTGATTTGCTCTAGGATAATCACAAACAAAAATTCCACAGAAATACTTTTTCAAATGAAATGATTTGCCATTATCAACCCCCATAAGGGAGACATTTTGTTGAATGTGCTTTGCAGGGTATCTGACTGTCCTTCAAGCACCAGTTTTAGTCTTTATGTCTTTTTTGCTTCCTTTACCACTTTGGCATTACCTACACATCTTGTCCTCATGAGAAAGCTAGAGTGGTACAAACATTAAAGACATCCCCAGAACCACAAAATGTTCATATTGCTAAGCAGCATGGATACATTCTGAGATCTGTTCAATGCCTGAATAGAAACCATCAGGGAACTCTACTAAGTTGAGCTCCTTGGGGTAATCAGAGGCTATATTTGTAATAAATAAATAATCTATATTTGAACAAATGATCTAAAACTATATATATGAATCACTTGTGGAGAAATCACTTGTGGAGAAATCTTACCATAATGAAGTTTTACAATGAAAGGGTGATTCACTTCTGCCAAAATGTCTCTTTCCATTTTTGATCGTACACGATCTCGGACTGTAAAAGAAGAACAAGTAGATACCATAAAACCTGATGGTCCAGACAGTTACATCTGTCTCTGTATTGCTGTATAACAATGAATAACTAATTTTATTTTTGTGTGTACATTGCTGTCCTCTCACAGAAACTAAAGGCCGTTTGTCAAAAAGGCCATTTATGCACTGTTTAATAAACAGGAGGCTGGGGATTTTTGTGTTTCTTGTTAGACACACCTCAAAGAGAAGTAACAGAAGAAAAACGTTTCTCACACATATGTAGGATACTGCATACCCTTTGTTCGGTAGATTGTTTACTCATAGTCCCACAAGCTCAATAGGGGCTACTGACATGAGATAATCTTGTGATAGCTGGGAACTACTCTTCAGCTTTTAAAATTAGATTGTCATCAGAGCTTGGAGAATACAACACTCCTTCAGCTGAGGAAAGGGAGCAACAAGATAAAAAGAAATACTTTGGAGTCTCAAAACAGGATGTGAGCTTTGAAAGGTTGCACAAATTGTTTCCTGGAAATCTTACTGCACCTTCAGCACAATGCTACACAGTTGTGAGTGTCACTGTGTTTCCAAGTGGTGGGTATAGGACTGTAACTTAATTTGAGTTATCTGTTTCCCTCCACTGTGTCCTCCTTGTATCACTGTATCACTATAAATAAAGTAAATATTATAGAGACAGAAGTATTCCAGTGTGCTTTCATAAACTCCCCTCTTTCACAGATGAAAACACATGTGGCCAAGTAACATAAGAATACACAAGCTAGGAGAGGCTACAACAGTTTGCTTTTGCCTGTGACTATTAGGAAGGACAAGATTCCGCTCCCTCCTTTCCTTTCTCCACTGCTGTAATAACTGAGTGCAACCCAAACTGTTTGCATTAATGGAAGCAAGCCAGGACAAAAAGGAAAGTGGGAGGATGAGAGAGAAACTGGGACATTTTTAAGCAGTTAAAAATCTGGCATAACAATGATTAACCAAATGTGTCTCTGCCAAAGTTGGAAAGCCTTCATCTAGACTGAGTTGGAATTTTGATTACTGGATTTGGACTCCAAGAGACTAAGGGCCTCGGCAGACGGCTAATTGAGCCGTCTTCCGGGCCCAGAAGAGGAGGGGCAGCTGCACGAGCGGCGCCCCTTCCTCTTCTCGAGGTCGCCCTCGGAGTCGCCGGCCCTTCGCACGGCCGGCGCTCCAGGGATGACCTCACGCCGCGGCGACCGGACGCGCCGCGGCGTTTGAGTCAGGGAAAGTGCGCCCACCACTTTTAGGGCGCACTTTCCCTGAAATCTAAAAGAAGCGCCAATTTGGAGCTCCTTTTAGATTCGCCGGAGGTGCGCCGCGGTGCGGAGGCCGAGCTCCACCAGCGCTCCGACCCGCGGCGCACGGGAAGCTCCCGTCTGCTTCCCCCCCAAGGTTCAAATCTCCCTTTAAGCCATGGAATTCCGTTGTGTGACCTTGGGCAAGTCACACTTTCTCAGCCTTAGAGGAAGATAATGACCAACCAGCTCTGAACAAATCTTGCCAAGAAAACCCCATGATAGGTTCACCTTAGGGTAGCTATAAGTTAGAAATGACTTGAAGACACACAACAGTAACAAGCCTTCATCAAAATGAAACTAAAAGTTTATGTGACATCTTGGGAGAACTGTGATTATATAGCATAACTGCACATAGTTGTAGCAGCAGGTTATCAACTACTGATCAGTACTGCATACAATTGAATACATTGCTGATCTAATGCTATTGGTAGGGATGATTCACAGAGCACTATTTCCTGGATACTGTTTTAATAAAACACTGCAGTTTCCAAATGAAAACACTAAGTAAAGGAGAAGAGTCAAAGGTTAGGGAAGAGAAAATCTTACGTTCCTTTTCAGAGACAAGTCATGACTGCTATTAGAGAATTAAGGAACCATTATGGAAAATATAACTAGGCAATGTCCACTAAGTTCAAACAAATTTCAAGAAATGTTATGCAGAAGAAGTGTAACAGCAATGCCCAAGTGTATGCAGTTCAAATTGAATTTGCTAGATTGTAGTCACAGGTGTGTATGTGTATGTGTCTTCAAGTTGGCTTATGGCAATCCCATGAAGTTTTTATAGAATTTTCTTAGGTAAGGAGCACTCAGAATTGGTATTGGCAATCCCTTCCTCTGAAATATGGCCTACAGAACTTGGCATTTGTTGGCAACTCCCATCCAAGTATTAACCAGAGCTGACCCTGCTTAGCTCCCAAGATCAGACAGGATCTGGTGCCTTTAAGGTATTTAGGGTACTCCCCAACATATTATTATAAGTGATATCATAAATTACTGTTCAATAGCTTGAAAATGAAGGCAGAGTGGTGTAGTAGTTTGAGTGTTGGACTATGACTCTGGAGACTAGGGTTCGAATCTCGGTTCAGCCATGAAACCCATTGGGTGAACTTGGGCAAGTCTTACTCTCAGCCTCAGAGGATGGCAATGGCAAACTCCCTCTGTAGAAACTTGCCAAGAAAACCCTATGATAGGGTCACCATAAGTTGGAAACTACTTGAAGACACACAATCACAACAAGCTTGCAAATTCCTCCTTGAGAAGAAAGGAGGTGGTAACACTTCGTTTAAGAGATCCCATGGAAACAACTCCAGAAGAAAAGTTAACCAGAAGAGGTAAACACTATAGTCAGCAGCCAAAACTTTCTTCCTTGACAAGGTGCTAAAGCAAATGATAGCTAGCCAAAGTCAGACATTCGAAATTAAACTGGATATCTAAATCCATTTAAATCTGGGCTTTGGGACTACTTTTGAAAAAAAAAAGGGGAGGGCACTTCTGAAATGGATGAAAAGAATGTGGCCCTATTGATTCTCCTGGACCTCTTAGCAACTTTTGATATCATCAACATGATGAACAATATGACAAATTATACTTGCTAGCAATGTATACCCCTTCCACCCAAATTTGTCTTGGACTTTCAATATCACATCAAGTTGGAAATGATGAAGTACCTGAGAGCAGCAAAGATGCCTCTTAGGGCAGGGGTAGGCAACCTTTTTGAGACCTGGGCTGGTCTCCCATAGCCCAGGACTCAGCTGGGCCGAGGGGGGGGAATGGCGGCGCGCGCACTCTCACACGTGCACACACTCTCCACCAATGCGCACGACCCCTCCGTGCACGCTGTCGCTGCTGCCGCCGCGGCTGCCACAGCCACCGCTGCGCATGTCACAACCACCATTTTGAAAATGAGCTCCATTTCCATTTGATTTCCAAAATGGTGGTCGCGGCGCGCACAGCGCGAGCGGCCGTACAGTGGCAAAAACACGGTGCCGTGGTGGTGTGCGGCGGCGGCGGCAACCTTCGGCCTGGGCCGGTAAGTCCAGGGACCTGGGCCTTAACCGGCCCCCGGGCCGTAGGTTGCCGGTCCCTGTCTTAGGGCCTTTGCAGACTGCCAGAAATAGTGCAAATCGAGTCCACTTTAAGGGTTAGGGTATCATGGGAACTGTAGTTTATTGTGGCACCAGAGGTCTCTGACAGAGAAGGCTCAATGTCTCAGGGGGAAAAAAACAATTCCCATGACTCCCTAGCACTAACCCTAACCCTTAAAGTGGACTCAATGGTCTATTTCATCTGATACACAGAGTGAACTGATGCCCAAGAAGGACCTTTATAATCAAAATGTATAAACAGACATACATGTCAACTCATTATCATACCTATAAGTTTTGCATTTCCATGGCTATTCATACAGTCTGTTAGTGATCTTTCATGTGCAGTATAATAGTATGTATGCTTACTCAGAAGTAAGTTCCACTGAGTTTTATGAAACTAACTCTGAAGTAAGTGTGCACATGTTTCTAACATCAATTGCTTATTTATGCTTCATCCATTGAAAGGCAGCTGGTGGTTCGGTGTCGGTGAGGTGGTGGATCTGCTTTGAGTTTTAGTCTACACTTTAAAAGTACTATTTAAGTTGCTAAATATATTTTGGTGATACCTCAGGTAACTCCTTTAAAGTTCAAACTACAGCCAAGAACAGAATTATCACCCAATTGACTGTCCCTGCTGCTTTCATATACACTTGTCCCTCCATTTTTGCAGGGGATCTGTTCCAGACCCCCTCCTGCGAAAACGGAAACTCACCAATATACAAGCCCTATTGGCTTGAATAGCTGTGCGCTCCAGCGTGCGGTCTGTGCATGTGCGCATGTCCATTTTATCCCATGGAGCTCAACCCTCTGCAAAGAATCAAGACTGTGGACTTGACGTCCGTGAAAACAGAGGGGCAAGTGTACACCCTCTGAACTAAATGAAAACAAAACTATAACACCCACAGAATCAGACTGAAGAGATTAACATTTTTGGTTATGCATGAGAAAAAGATATGTAAAAAATGTTAGGAAGAAATGATTAATTTGCTGCTTATATTTGGCTCCTGTTGAGCATCTTATAAAACATTGGCAATTCTTTTGCCAGGCATGCTTGGTTGAGAACAGAAGAGACAGGTGTAGATTTGCTTCCATTTACATCTGAAAAAGGAATATGAAGAAATAATACTTCTAAGGTTTCCATAATGGGCCAATAACATCAACATCTAGAAAGCATTTACATAAGAAACAAGGAATCATATTCCATCAGATGCACATTTTGAGCTTGTTTGGAGGTTCTAGCAGGGGAGCGCAGCTATCGTATACCCTTGACGGAAGAACGGTACACTCCTTCTATCTGGGATGGTCGTCCTCTTCCACCGAGCGCGCAGCTTCGGGAGGGACGCACATGGAGCGGTGAGGGAGGAAGGGGACACCCGCCTAGCCAGCCAGATCAGCCGAATCAACCCTGGCGATCAATGGGGTGACAAATGTCGCAGCCAGATCGCCCTCACATCCCATCAGATGCACATTTTGACTGAATGCCTTCCTTTAATTTTTATAAATGATAGAAAGGTGCTGACATTCTTACATTGTCTAAAGAGAACATTATTTTTTCACCTATCATGTAAAGCCTACAAATTAAGGAGAAAATTTGGCCATTTCTCATGAATCATTAAATCTAAAAGAACATATTATGGGAGAACTTATGAAAGAGTTACAGTAAGGGGCTGAACAGATGACCCCTAAAGGGTGGCATCCTGCTGCCCCTTTCCTTGCCAGATTGGGGGGGGCGCGGCAACCACACGCCATGGCCTGATCCAGTAGTTTGCCACTCTAAAAAGAGCTGGCAAATGCCGTTCCTTTCTAGAGCGGCACGTAGCCGTCCTTGCCACGGCAACAGCAGCTTTTTGGTGCTCCTTTGGTGCAGCGTGTGAATGCTGCACCAAGGAAATGCCCTGACAGCACCCACCATCTGGTTGGGTGGGCGGCATGATGGCAGCATTGGGGCAGAGTTGGGGCAGCCGGCGTGCAGTCACCATGCCTCCATTCCACCCCCCAGGCCAGCCCTTTTGGCTGGTCTGTACAGCCCCTAAATTTCCTCATTAGAGGATGGTAATGGCAATATCAGAACTGACACTAATGGCTGGGGTCAGATGAGTTCTTGTTGGCCACATTACTAGATTAAAAATCAACCACAGCCCTAAAGTTAACTTCCATACGAAGAACACAGTGGAGCTTCGAAAGCTTGCATGATGTATTTTGGCCCAATAAAGTTATCAGTGTTTTATGGATTTTGGATTTTCTTGTATTTTGCTGCATGGCCAACATGGGTTACCTCCAGTAGCATCCCTGGTGTGTGTGTGTGTGGAGGGTGCGGACTGCACTGGGTGACACCCCAGAATGGGGGGGG